AAATGAATGGTTTATTCTTGATAAACTACAGACCACACCCAAAAATCATATCAAAATTCTTTGTACAGATAAAACTAAGCAAAAAAAAATATTTAAATAGAGGTAGAAGATTTACAGCACCATGCAATTATCAAATTCTAACATTAGCTTGTTGCAAGTTACCATAGAAAGGATGCTTGTCAATCGCGTACGCAACCTTACTAAAGTACATTACTTTGAGCCATCAAGAACTTCTTAATCAAAGAAAGAAACCCCATCTTACGATCTGGGAGCATATGACAAATTAAAATTAGTAGAACTAGTAAGATTATAAGAGATAAGGAATATGATTGAACAAACATCACATCCAATAGGCAGGAAGAAGAAAACTCAAGCCTCGACAGCTGATATAATTTTATAATGCTCAAAAGTGCAAATAAAGCTATAAAAAACTTCAAAATTCCTTTTGTCAATGTCCTGAAAGAAGTGGATGAACTACACCCAACCTTAATGCGTTGGATATGCAGCTGCTTGCTACAATTAGAGAGAAAAAATCAATTCATAGAGAACTAGATCACATTTTGGAGCAATGGATTTATGTTTAAAGAAAGTCGAGAGTGAAAATTCATGGAATAAATAGCACATTTATTCCACTTTTACTATAGTGACATATGCTTCAAGCCTCCGTAAGACAGGAATTTGTAGAATCCAAATCTATCTGGCATACCATGCAAAGAATAGATCGTTGACCAAAGAAAGAAGATTGAGAGAGGGGGCGAAAGAGAAAAAGGGAGAGAAGGGGAAGAGCTTGACTTCCCCTATCGGAGGGAAACGGGGTGTTCCTGGGGCCGATGACCCATTTCATTTCATAAAGAAAATATTTTACAAAGAGGGAAGAGCCTAGAAGTCCCCCATACATCATATGAACCTCCTATTTACAGAAGATAGGAGGGACAAAAAATATAAAAATTACATATTTGGTCTTGCTTTAAAGAGAAGAGCGAATGGCATTCTGATCTTATTCTGACCGTTGGATCGTCTCAAGATCCATGCAGACTATTTTTGAGTATACATATTAAGTTCTCCATTTTTTTTGCTCCTTTATAACGACAATTGCGATAAGAACAAAAAAATTTATGAATCAAGCAAATCTTGAACACATAATTTGTTAATGATACTTCTTGCTAGGGTTTTTTGCACTTGTTTCGGTATCTTATTCGTCATCAGATGATTTATCATTCCATACTTTTTCTGTCGGAGGAGTCGTCAGGTTCTGATGGCCATTCGGAGGAAGAAATCAGTAGTCGGCGGAAAAGTCTACTGCAGTTGGAAAGGTGACTGTCGGCAGAAAAGTGGGTCGTCAAAGAAAAAGTGGGCCATCATAGTGAAGTCAACCATCCATAGGAGGGCGACAGACAAGAGTAGACTATAAGTATGATTCTGATTGCAGTTCTTTTAGCCTGACAGATATGGTGATACCTCCAGTTTGTACATGAAGCCCCAAGTTTTTCTTTTCTTAGAGGTGAAACTCCAATAAGAATGGAAAACTCAGAAGTACATAAAAGGTATACTTGCCTTTCTCCCTAGCTTTACTTAGTTTTTCAACAGCTCTTTCCC